ATTTATATATATAATTGAATAAGAATCCAAAATACAATTGACAGGGAAATTGCCAGCATGCTTGCTTTGCTTAAGGAAGAAAAATTCCTCACTGACACCAGTGAAGGACATCCTTGAGAGATGGGGGAAATTGAAGCAAGGTCTAAGACTGACATCATTACCTCCACAAGTTGCAGTAGTGTTGGTTCTTGCTCTGATTTAAGCAGTAGTTCATACTCCTGTCCCTTGAAGTTATCACGATAATGCTTTCTGTTATAAGGGACTCTCAGACTTTGGGGAACACCAATTTTGTTCTCTAGCAAGCGAAACTGCAGGCTCTGAAACCCTGAGGCTGGGCTTAGGTAGTATCTTTGGGAACAGAAGGAAAGAAGATACAAAAATGCAGTATATTATTTTACAATTGTGGGTTTCTCTTGTCCTCAAAATACCCACCCCAAAACATATTTCACATTTGAGGAATAGTTATCTGAGCTTTTTTAATATGAGTGTATTTAAGAAAAGGACAAAACCAAGCTATTTTAATGCAACTACTATGTACATATAACAATCTAATTCTCTAGTTATATATTCTTTGTGCATACACAGATGCATTCACACATTTATGTTCGCACTGTGTTTTAAAATGGCAACTTTGTGCATGTGATGTACAGGAGGAAACATTAGTGAATGCCATTTCCTTTCCAAACAGAATAAGCAGCTTCACCCCAAATAGCTGTTGCAAAAATTTCCACAGCTAAAAGGTGCCAAGTATTTTAAATAAGCTTTATATATAGCATAATTGCTATATATTATTATATATAATATGCATGTGCAATATATACATACACAATATTATATATTGCCTTATTCTATACAATAGAATAATGTTCAGCAAAACTTTTAGTGGATTTGTTTGAGGAATTCATTAATGGGCTTCTTTCAGAGCTAAATTATCTGGCCATGATGAAAAAACCAACTAATAAAAGTAACCTGAAATTGCACATCGCTAGATACTTGCAATGCATTTTGAATTGCGAATATAAGATTTGACAGAAACAGGTCATTGATTTGATCTTATGTTTGCTTATCAAATGACAGTATGTTGTTGAAGAGCTGAAGCAAGAATGGATAAAGCCAGATGATTAGCCTATGGATTTCCCTTGCTGTGGTGTAATGCTAGAGGATACAGATGTTTCAGACTTCCAAAAGAAGCTTTGTAGTTTCCTGTCTTTTTAACTAGGGCCTATTAAAAGACAGAAGGGAAAGGGTGCTAAAACAATGCAGAAGTGGAGTGATGCTGGGTGGCACTGAGGTCACAAGTCAGATGGGTCAGTGACACAAGCAGAAGAAGAACAGGAGGGCAAACTGGATGAAGCACAAGGTAGTGTGCTGGAAGGACCTAGATGAAGTGAGGGAAGAGATAGAAATGCCATGCAAGAAGTGAGGCAAGCCAAAGGATTCCAAAGAAAGTCTGAACAGAAGGCAGAAGAGCTACCACCAACCCTCCAGGCCAGCAATGCACTGGGTACCTAGTGGAGAGCAGAAGTTGTTGTGGGAAAAGAAGGGACAGCAATGCTTCCTTCAGCCACTTAAAGCCTCCAGCACTGCAGACCCACTGAAACATGAAGCCAGGAAACACTATGCAAACTAAGACAGCTGAAATACATGTTTGGTAATCTACAGAGAGTGCATTTCTCTCTCCTGAGCACTGCTATGACTTGCCATAGAACAAGGCTGCAACTGTGCATTGCCAAGTGTCAAGTAAATTGTTAACGGAACCGTGAGCTATTTCTGTTGTTTCTATTGCTTTGACTCTGAAACCATTCAGGAGCAACCTATACATAAGCATCAACAATTCACTTGTATATCTTTGCAGAAGATGCTGGACTCACTCTCTCCTTCAATTTGTTAATTGACCCTTGCACTCTAATGTCATGTTTGCCTCTCTAAGGTATTGCTGAGTGATGATGCATTACTAGAAATCAACACACATGCAAAATTCACAATCAGTGAATTACCAGCTTGTGGATTACTGTGGAGGAATAGTAATTATTTACCTGAAATCAAAGAAGTCTAATGGAGTCATAGTTTCTAAAACTGAGAACTGTTCCACAAGTAATTTCAGAATCATTGAAATTCTGTTCATTCGAGTAATAACCTTCAGCATGTTCCTCTCATCTCTTACCTGTAAGAAAAATAAAGATCATAACCAGACAGAATGGTGGTCTCTCTAGATCCTACCTATTTATTTCACATCTTTTCACTGTTGTACATCACTGTAGTTCCCAAGTCCTTCCCATGTGAAATCCATAGCAGCAGACTCTCATGGAATAGAGAGCTCTGTTTTTAACTGAAAACTGAAACTATAATTTTCACAGACTGAGATTTGGTTTTTTGTGACTGATAATACATTACAAGTAGGCCAAATAGATGGGATTTTTCTTTTCTGTTTTTGACTGAAATAGAAGTCAAAGGCATGAAATTCTAGACCAAAATAATTTATATCATTATAATTATTAATAATTACAATATTATTGTAATTACATATTATATAAAGTGATAATTATATTACACTTTCTATCATAATTACTTCTCTAATCATTTCTAATTGTGAAGGAATAAGTCATAAGGCAGGTGTGGAAATTACTCAAAGTTGAGAAGAAGAATAATGTGAGAGGTACATCAGAAGAACTCATCTAAAAATGCTCATCAGAGATGTGCATTAGGAAGAAGAAAAGAACAGAGAAGACTACATCTGCTGGGAAATAGAAAATATTGAATGGAAGACACAGAAGATCTTTTTGAGCTAAGTTGAACACTTTGCCTGCAGAGGAGTCTGCTATAATTCCTTCTAGTTTCAATGGGATTAAACTTCTTTGTGAGAGATGGGCATGAAACCAGGAAATATCAAACTACAAAAGTGGCAGATGATCACCATTTCCCTAACCTCCTGGCTGTGTACTTGACCTTAACATGGACATTTCAAATTCTGATTATGAACAAGGTTTCATTTTTCCAAAAATAAATAACGAAAAATTAATTCTCCTTAAGAACCGATTTTCATCAGTTATAATTTGATATTATGTTAAACTACAAAGCCAACCAAATTATGAATGTGGAAGACAACAAAGAACATTTTCATTGGACATTATAAAGAAAAATGTTCCGTCTTGCAATCTGGTCTAGTTTCAACTCTTCTTTTTAGACACATGCATGTGATATACTCAAGGTATTTCTCAAATTGCATGCAGTCAGCATTTTTCTGTGGATGTAGTATCAAGCCAAGAGTTTTCCATTGTTGTATATTTCTATAAAGGTCATTTAGCTTTGGACATATATTTAGAGTTGTTCAAAATATTCCTGCTATATTCGTAATTTTCAGAAATATTCACACAGTATGACACTGTGATTTTGATTCTTGTTTTTCTGTAGGATTCAATAATACACAACTATCACAAAGAATTTTCCTTCTCCCAGCAGATATTGGATGGAAGGATGTTATATGTAGACTTCAAAAACTGAACAAAGGCAGAAGTGACTTTTCAACATAAATACACCTGTGAGCCCTCTGGTTTTCAGTTTTGCCTCTGAACCTTTTTCTGCAGTAGAATATTTCCAAGTTAAGTTTCAGCAGTTATCCAGTACTAGCAGGAGAGTATGACAGCCAATTAATTTTTGCCAATTAAATTGGTCTTGGAGGGCGATCTATGCAAAAGGCAGACTATAGGAGGAAAGAAGATTTTGCTGATCAAAATTATATCTGAAGGGTATAAAAACCTCTTGGCCAAATTTCATTCAGTCTTTTTGAAGCTGTTTTTAAAAAACAACACATGTTGCTTTAGTAAACCCAAGTATATTAAGCTTAAATGCAGGAGCAATAGAAATATGGGGCTGAATTCTCCCAAAAGTAGTATTTGCTTTTAACTTACGTGGCCGTTTTGAAAGATCTCTCGCACAGAGTCCATTTCCCACAAAATTTGCTTAAACCAAAGCTCATATGCTACAACAAGAAAGGCACTGTTAGCACTGATTTCGAGGTCACTTTGCTTTTTCTTCATCGCTCTGAGGAAGTAAAATTCTTACATTTTGATTTGAAATGAATAACCTATATTTACACTGCCAATGTACAAAAAGATGCTGACACATAAACTTATTACATGTTACAATATGCTGTCCTTTACCTAAAATATTACACAAAATAACCTAGCTTTGAGAATATTGGCAGAAATTTTTAAAATAAGGTTTACATGTCAGATAATTGATGTACAGAATGTTTATTTCAAGAGGAACAAAGAGAAAATCTGGATCTGATACTCCAGTAAAATCTATCTCCAGAGCTGCTTACAATCTACATGTTTCCTGAAAATAACAGGAAAATATTGTCAGGTCAGGCCTGCAAAACAGGCAGATATGAACAGCTAGGGAGAGCCTAATTAGTATGCTGACTTCTAGACAGATTCTAGATGGTTAAAACTGGATTGGAGCTCCAGAGAAGGCCCAGGGCAGCACATAAAGTTTGCCTACAATAAACTGCTTAGCAGCCTGTTGCTCAGACAATTTTTTTCAGCACCTTAATTTCTCTAGGAATAGAATGATCCATATCTTGGTTTACCAAATCCAAAGACTATACTTATGGCTTCATAAGCATAGAGTTGATTACTGCCTTAAAATTATATAGGGATATGTACAAATACAAATGCAGATTAATGACAGAGCAATCACACTGAGTGTCTAAAATGCAAACAGTTTGTGTATTGCATGTTACAGCAAAACTGTTGGTCAACCACCACTGAACTCCTCCAACGTACCTTGATGTGTCACAATGAAAAGATGCTCATCGTGGATTTTTTTCCCTTTCTTCTCACTCTCAAGTTCTTGAGCATTCAATATTTTGTTCAGCTTAAAAATAAAGATAAGACTCTTCTGTAAATCTCTCAATTCTGCTATTAGCAATGACAGCCCTACTGTGCACAGCTAATATATAAGGATAATATTTTTTTCAAATATATATATAGACCTCACATTCTAGGTTATATGAGAAGTTTGGCTAAATGGTCTCAGGTATGACTTTTACTTTTTAATTAAAATAAAAATCTTGCCAAAATTGGAATGTTTAGGTGCCTCAAGCAATAAAGTTTTGAAAATCATTTTAAGGTTATTATAAATTATGTAAGAAAAAGCTAAAACAAAATATCCAGCATGTTTTCTAGATCTTACACCTGTACTGTTTTGCTCCATGAGAACTGTTCTTATAGTAAAATTCTGTGTAAACATATGATAACATCTGCATAAGAGCTCTGTTTTGAGGCTGTGCTAGTCATTTCATTTCTGGCATTAGTAATTCTTTTTCCTGAGTCAGATTTACAATCTAATCACAGTTATTTTAAAAGAAATCTTTGCAAGATTCCATATACTATGTCAACAAATCAGCTCACAAGCACAGAGTAATTCCTCTCACTTCTGTTCATGCTGCCACCAAAAAAAAAAAAATAAATAATGGATTCTTTTATTACCTTAGCATTTATTTTTACTTATTTATTAATTGCTTCCAGTTTTTGCAGTTTAGGTTTGGGGCTTTTATGTCTCCCCACAAATCATTATCCTGCCCTCTAGATTTCTGGAATGTATTTTTCCAGCCAGCTATTCTGGGCTTTCATGCAATATTTCAAGGAAGTAGCACAGAGCCTCCCGATGTGGAGAAATTGGCAGGTGGTGATTGACAGACCAAAAAAATCTTTTTGTGGTGTGCCACTTTTCAGTTTAGGTTTACCAACAGGAATAATTCCCTACCAAACCCTCCAAAATATCCATCTTCTTTGCAGTTTGAGAAGCCTTCCCACAGTCCACTTGCACCATCCCAGCTGAGGAAGGCACTGCACATGGAGAGCTCCGGTAGATGAAGGGCACTTGGAGACCTGTCTTAGAGATTGGCTGACTGCTGGAAGAAGTGTCAATCACAGGTCCTGCCTCAAGTCGTAAGAGGAATCAGGACAACAAACTTGAAATCCTTAAACTTACTTGTAGGTAGTCTCCATAGATAAGTCCACCTTTGCTGGCTTTATTTATTCCTTCTTGCGATTTGTCTTCATTTTCATCTTCCAAAGATAGATTGTTGAAATTAAATCTAAGAATAAAATGAAGCACATATGTAAACTGTTTAATTAAAGAACTATGAATACACCTGCTTTTTACTAACAGATGCATCTAGAAATCAAACAATGCTTTATTTTGAGAAACAATCAGTAAAGCAGGCTTTTGAAAAAAACAGTACACCTGAAATTTGTCTTGCACAGGAACAGCTGATAGCATTACCTCTAGTTCATCAAGTAACAAGTGCTCAGACAAGTCCTTGTACTATCTCTTTTCATTTAGCAGTAGCTACAGCTGTCTATTTGTTGATAGTAAGCAATTCCTCTCTAGGCTTTCATATTTTACATTAACACTATATCATTTGAACTGAATTTATGAAGCAAAACACAGAGAGGAGGGACTCACAGGTAATTGTTCCCCGCGAAGGGGCAACCGCTCATGATTCCAAGATCCAAACTTGCTGAGCCACACAGGAGAGAATATACTCTGTTAGTGTTCCCAAATTTGCTGGAGCTGACTTATATATAACCTTATCTCATTGCCTAGGCCAACCCCCAAATTCCTCTCCTTAGCCCTCAGCCAATCCCCACTATTCAATAATTACAGAAACTATTGCAGCACGAAGGTCAATAACTTCATGTGTTGTTGGCTCTCCAAAGTTATGGGTTTTTTCTACCAGTTAAAAAAGGAATGGTTGGCATGCTTGTTTCTTTCCTCAGGCACACACTTTTTGTGGTTTTTACTGCAATATTTCCAGCAGTTTCCTCTTTGTAAGTTGTTTTCTTACTGGTGTAAGGCGTAGGTCGATGAGAAGTCTGTGTGTGAGAAAAAGGCAATATTTAATAAACTCAGGAATTGTTAAAATAGCTTTGTAACATTCAGTCTCTTGTATCAAGATACTTTTAAGTGTAAAAAATGAAACATGGAAAAGCAAAGGGGAGGGGAAGGAGAAAAACTGATTTCTATGGCAGATTGAATAAGCTTATTCCAGGGGATTTCAAGTAATAAACAAACTTTCAAAAAATGCAAACAGATTAAGTAAAAGAACTAAAAATATTCATGGACATCTCATGCTGTTTTCCCAGTAGTTTGATTCATAACTTTTTCTTAATTTTTTCTCCTCGTGCAGAAGTTTCACTCTCATTTATTGACAAATGTTACTCAATTCTATTTAGTCATCAGCTTAACACACAATGAAGAAACATGTAACTAGTATGCACTTCTTTCCTGCCTGCCAGCCCTTTCTGAAAATAAAGTTAATGCTCAGTTTCACTGCAAACAAAGCTACAGGGCCCCTGTGACCCTAGATCATTTGCTTTCTGCAAGACTTACCGTGCTCAGTGGGGTCTGTGTGGTGGTTTCAGCTGTTCTAGTCACTTAAGAGTAGTTGGCTCATAAAAAAATTCATACGCAGTATGTGGTGATGTATATACTGTTCAGCCAGATGTCATTTGTCAGGCATTGCACATCTTAGTTCATAATTAATCTGAGCCACAAGAAAAGTAAGCAACTGAGGCAACCCACCAAGCAAGGTCAAGGTGTTCTTCCTTCATGATGGAAACCTGACAGAGGAAAATAATCTTCTCCCCACACACATCTGAACATCTGCTTGGTGCTGCAGGCAAGCAGAGATGAAAGTGAAGACTGCACTGCCACATACATCAGAAATTAAATGTTGAAAACTGCTTTTCACACCTTTGCACACAACTTGATTTACAAATGTAAAAGTATTTCACATTCACAGATCTCAAAGGTGTGTACAAGGAAGGTTTATATCTTGTCATTTCTATATACCTTCACCTGAAACATCCAGACTGAGCCTTCATAATGAACTTAAGCTTTCTGGGTTTGTTTTTCTTTTCAGGGCACAAGCAAAGAAAGAGCATAAAACTAATAAAAATAAGGACAGTTGTAAAATATTAAACCCATAACCACACAGAAGACATTAATGTGTTTCTTGTGCAGCTTTATTTTCTTCTGTGGTATACAGAGAATAATAAACTCCCAGAGCAATGACCTAACTTACATCCTCTATATTGCCTACCCAGAAGGCAAAGGAATATGAAATATCAGAGCTCTTTTACACCCTGTGCTTAACAAAACATTACCTCCCTAGTTGGGAAGTAATACTACCCTTAATTCATTCAGGTTTACCTAACTCACTTGAAATCTAGCTGGAGATACTACCTGACCAAGCACTACACTAACTCCCTTTCTGATTCTGACAAGTTTCAGTCAGTCAAATGAATCAGCCAGACCACAGCAATTCAGAAAGTTATTTCCAGTGTTTGCAACATTTCAAACTCTGTTCTGGGACCTCATAGCTGATTGGTCCCTATGCATCTCCATACTGAAAAACACCACCCTAATAATCTTGTGAAATGTGGCAATCCAAATGAAACTCATTCATTACTCATTGCACTTGCTTGATGACCATGTTCGCTTTCTCCTGTTAAACTCTCTTGTGCTGGTGCATTTAGAAATCTTGGCTGCCCTCAGGACCCTCCTGATGAGAAAACATTCCCAAATGTCTGTCCAGTATGTACCTTTCAATCAGTTTCACTTGTATTTCACTAGCAACCAAGAACCTATGTCTGTCTGGTATGTACCTTTCAATCAGTTTCTCTTGTATTTCACTAGCAACCAAGAACCTTATGATATGAATGAGAGGATTCATAAATATGATTCTCCAAATTATCAGAAAACTGCAAAGACATTGGGAAAAAGAAACATGAGCAATTAGTTTCAAGCCTGCGCTTGGGACACAAACACATTCCTCTAAACGTAAGTGTCCAACAATGGTATGTACCTTTCAATCAGTTTCTCTTGTATTTCACTAGCAACCAAGAACCTTATGATATGAATGAGAGGATTCATAAATATGATTCTCCAAATTATCAGAAAACTGCAAAGACATTGGGAAAAAGAAACATGAGCAATTAGTTTCAAGCCTGCGCTTGGGACACAAACACATTCCTCTAAACGTAAGTGTCCAACAATATGCTTTAATTTAAAATCAGAAACAAAAACATATTTTGCAGTGATCTCAATACATGAAACACTCTTACAAAAATTTTCACTCAGGTTTTAGAAAGTCCCAACAATTTAACAATTGACTTCCATGGCAGAGCTGATTAAAAATAAGGAAGCTGTTACTTTCACACACAATGCAGAATGAAGGTTAGCTCAAGTTTCATATTTTTATGAGAAACAAAAAAAGCCAAATATGTGTTTAAGCAAAAGAGACAACCTAGTGAATTTTTAAAAATATTTGTGGTGTCTAAAAGATGCACTATATACTTTATATATACCTTGTAGAGTGAATTCTACATGCTATATTCTTTGCATTAAATGCAAATCCATGTTTACCAGGCAAAGTATATGAACTCTCTGATTTTGCACACAAACAAATAATTTACTCTCTTTTCTGTCTCTCATAGTTAAGCCTGATTGAAATATTGTTCAATCTAAAGTGTGCGCAAGTTCTGTCAGTCTGATCTGATGCTGCAGTAATTTAACAGTCCATGTTTCACTTTGAAAACTAGAAATGGTGGAAGTGGCTTCATATTAACTTCATATTAACTTCTTGAGCCAAAGCCTTGCCTCTCCCCTGCCCTGTCTCAAAAACAAGCAAAGAAAATGAGACCACTGTATTCATGTTTTAAAGAGAGAAGCAAAACCAGCAGGGGACTTAAAGTTGGTAACTTCTACCTGCACTGTGTATCTAGCCAGGAAAAGCTGTTGACTGACCAATTCCGGAAAAAATGGGTAATATTATGGATAATACTATCCTTGCATCCATTTATTTAAGAAAATCTAATCTTACACTAGCTGAGTCCAACTCTCTAACTAATCCAACTACAACAGATCTCAAACTGTCCGAGATCAGTGGGAAAGGAAGTCTTAATAAGGACTTGGAAATCCCTGAAGTAAAACCAGAGACAATACAGAACTATCATTCATTCATCTTACTGTCTGCCTTCATCTGATTTCAGTAAGGCTTCAAAGTGTGTAATGAACTTTGTACAAAAATAATTTTTTTTAAGTGACTTGTACTACCCGATTGTGAAACTGCCTGTTGGCAATGTAGATGATAGCACAGGTTACACGAGCCCTCAGGTTTGGATCAGCTCAGAGCCTTGAACTCTGGCATGGATGCAGACACCCCTAGAAATAAATGTCTTTCTCCTATGCTCCTGAAATTTGGGGCTCACTGTAGGAACCTGATATTTATTTGAATGGTTTGAGTGGCCTTTATATCCCGACAGAGATTTTTCAGCTAATTTGTTATCTCTTTCTACTAGCATAATCATGAGGCTTGATGAAAAAAAGCTCTTCCATGTGAATGTATCTGAAAGCAAAATGTAACCTTAATTTTAAATGATGGTATTGCTCTTTTCTTGAAACACACTATCATTTCCCTTTTTCATGCTGAACACCCAGAACCACCAAGAAGCAGATGCAACCACACACATATGAACTTGCTGTTTGTGCTGTGGATGACTGAGCAAGGCTATGGAAACCAAGAGTGTGTGTGTGGCCTTGAGCTTTTATTTAGTTATTTGTTTATTTACTTTTAAAGCATGAAAATCAGATAAAAAGACTTCTTTTCATCACAGACAACTCTAACCTTCAGCAGGCAGTGAGAATGTTCTGTTTTGTGACTAGGCTGAACACAAGATAAACACAGCAGAAAAAAATTCCCCACAGATTCACAGAACTGCTCTTTGTGGCCTTTAAATGAACTGTCATGGCCTTCATGACCAAGTATGAGAATTGTTAAGCTCTCTTCTTAATTCACCCTTGTCCCCTTTCTGTTTACCTCCCTTTCCCCAGGTGGATGTAGTGTCTGGGCTGGCTGTAATATGGTTGCAGAGCAGAGACAAACTGAACGTTCTTGACCTGAGAGAAGTGATTAATTAATGTGAGCAAAAAGGAAACGTCCCTCTAGCCTGGCCAAGGGGAGGTTTGATGCAATGCAGAGGTGGCCAGTAGCATGGTTTATAGATACAATTGGAGCCAAGAGTCTGCATGTTCTTATTGTGTGGGCCTCTGTCTAAAACATTTGTCTGATGAAGATAGGTAAGTAAGAATGACCTCCAATGCAGAGTGATGAGTACAATAAGAGCATAAATTGGAAGTGACCTGTTCACCCTAGCCCAGCCTCAAGTTATTCTACATGAAATTATGTATGGAGAAGAATACACAAGTGGTTTGGACAGTGTCACCCATTCTACTGCTTAGACTCTCATTTTGATTACAAAATCATCACAGATCAATTTTTTACAATGTTTGCTAATTTGAAGAAACAGCTCATAGACCTTCTGACTACCAAAAAGTGATGCTTGAATCTTCCCAACACTGTTGTTCTGAATTGCAGCCTAGGAGTTACCCAGCACAGATGGCTTTTACCTACATAACAGTGATGGCAGTAAGTAGG